AAAAAAAAAAAAAAAATCTGACTTGATTGACCCGGCCAACATGAGAGAGGGCTGTACAGTTTGCCAATCCCCTAAAGAAAGGCAATTTAGTTTGGGCAACATGCAAGCTTGTAATGGGGTTATGGAGCCTGCAGATGTGCATCCCAGATTATTACCAATCCAATTAAATCCCATTGCTGGGTTTGTAGCAAAACATAGTCATTTTTCAGAAGCAAGGGGTTTTTTTTCTGCTGGGGCAACAAGTGCTTAGAACTCCTGAAACGTGCACAGCACAAACATAGATTTCCTCAGATGGAAACAGCCAAAGGGCTGTTAATCAAGTGATTCTCATTATATTTTCAATATTCCTGCCCAACCATGCAGTAGATCCTGAAATGGCCAATCATAACTTGAAACAGATGGGTTGCTTTTAAACAGAAACAGGTGAACTGATTACATAGGAACCTAAAGCAGATGCATAAAATCTTTGCACTCAAAACTGAATAGAGGCATCCCTGGCCTGAAACAAGTATGAGACAGACATCATATTAAAGTGTAATCATGGTTGGAAAAGTGACGCTGTAGAAATTGCATCTTAGTGTTGGATCTGTCTTCTCCAACATCAATGATTTTCATACCAGCTCGGCAGAGGCAGTTGGCAGTTCTCCAGGGGCCACAACCATACAAACTCACATGTTATCCAAGCTGCATCCTCTCTGCTTCATCTGTCTTCATTAATAGCAAAAATCCTAACTCTAGAATCAGTCTGGTAAATGTGACTCAGAAGGGAACGTGGCAGTCTCTTGTTCCGCTGCAATAAGCTTTGCCCAGCTTGGTGAAAGGGAAAAGGGATCCTAGAAAACCTTGAAAATAATCTCTCATCTTTCCCTTTACCTCCCTGCCCCCCACCCCTTATCTGGTGATGGAGCAGGGAGACCCAATGGTTTGTACCATCTTCAAGTGATATTAAAGATGAACAGTTACCAAATAGCTTCTAATATGGTACTTAGCCAGCCTCCCTCTAACCCCTCAGGACACATAAATAATCTCTATTGACTCTGCAGAGTAATTCATCACTCATCTCCCCAGGATACCTCGGCTGATTTAACGCCAGCTTTGCTTGCAGACATCAAGTGGCTTATTGTTTGGTCCTCTTAGAGAAGGGAGGTGGCCTGACTCTGAGCATGCCTGCGAGACATGAGGCAGTTCTGCATCAATCTCCTTTGCAGACAACCAATGCTTTCTCATTTTCTCAAAACAGAGAGACCACTTCTGGCTTTCCTTCATCCACCATGCCTTTGCTTCCAACATCTTCTTTCTCCCCTGCTTCTTGGAACAATCCTACAGCTTTTCTTTCCTCTCACATTTCCTCCTGCACTTGGATACCAAGTCTCACCTGCCTGTTAACCCAAGTAGCTTCTTCTGCAA